CTCAATTTTTTGAATTAATTTGGATTTTTTTTGTTTTCTAGGCGGGATAATGCCACGCAACATCCCACCCCCCAAAATCAGGGATTCAAATCCGAATCGTTGTCCCGCCGTTACGATTTGAAGAAATCGGGGTTTTGAAGTCCCGTCAGCCGGCGACAATGTCGGTCGGAAAACGTTGCCGGAGCAACACTTTGGGTTCACTGTATTTTTATGAAGCCCATCATTTGACGGCAATACATGCCCTTCATCCCCGAGGGGTTGATCGCAGTTAGAGCTGCGAAAGGTTCGTTTAAGTCCCATTACGGGTTCCTCTTCCCCGAGGGGTTGATCGCAGTTAGAGCTGCGAGAAATTTGATTTAGCCCCATTATGGGTCCAGGTTGGTGGTCGTCCGTCACAGGGAACGAACCATTAGATGAGAAAGCCCCATCCAGAACAGACGAAGGGGGAAGCCAAAAGCGCCATCCCTTCAGAGCCTCTCTTCTGCACCGTTTCACTGAAACAGCTCCGGAGCGCTCTACTTCGGCACTCATATCTGTAAGACGCCTTTTGTTTTTGCCCGGACTTGAGCACGCCCGTCGAAAGATCTCGAATCGGTTTTTTGTGCGTTTTTCCCTCACTGCCAAGGGCCCCTGCTTCACCGATTGACCATTTCGACTCAGTTCGATCAATCCCCCACCGGCCGACCTTTCCTTCATCATGCAGAAAAGCGTCTGGTTGCGCAAACTAGCCGAGAGGAAAGCGAGCGCCGCCGCCCATAGACAACGGCCAAACCAGGCACACAGGTTGAGGAGAGAGGAGAGAGCACCTCTCATCAGATTTTTTTTTTCTCCTAAAAAAAATGGCGATTAGTTTTGAGTTTCGAGGTTGCTAAATGATATTCCAAAGAATAGAATATAAAATAAAGGAACATATTGTAAAAAATTGTATATAATTAAAAAAATTTAACATTTTTTATATTATTTTATTCTCCCTAATCTCTTCTCTCTCCCAATTATTTTCGTCCACTACCAAAAATAAGAAAAGAAAACTGTTTTTTAATTTTCAAGTTAAGATATAATTATTTTTATACCCTACCTACAATTAAGGAGAAGCAAAGAAATATCAAATGGTAAAAATCCTGCAAAACTCCACCGAGTATAAGATTTAGAGAAGATATATATGTACCTATAATATAATTGGCTCCTCAACTTGTTGATTTTGGTCTTTTCTAGTCTTATTACTTAGCATGTTGGGTTTATAAAATATATATAGAATCTCCACTAACTAATCTAGCAAGACAATAACCAAGGGGGTTTCTTAATAAAAACCAGAAGTAGGACAGCTTCCTATCATATTCATAGTTTATTAACCCCATACATGGAAACATGTATTAGTGGACTTGTCCAAACTCTTGACTCTCAGCCAATCAACATATAAAACATGGATTAGTGGACTTGGCCTGGATTAATAGAGTTTCAACGGTGTGTTTTGTTTGATAATAAACTATATCAAAGAGAGCAAATTTGAAAAAAATCACATTTTTTTAGAAATTAAATCTTTAGAAAGTTTTTCTTGCTCATGAAGATCAAATGTTATGCCAATTTCAAATTAGTATAAGCATTGTACAATTGAGATATCTAAACGATGTTAGTTGTATTCCAACAATGGATAAACCGATAGGTCAACTATATTGTGGATAAAAATTAATTGTTAGATTATGGTGTCTCCCTCATTATTTTGAGTTTTTTCAATAGTTCATCATCTAAAGAAAACTCAATGTAAATAAAAACGTTCGAAATTTATTTGCACTATATGCCCTTTCCATATATATTCTAACATCGCTCAAATAAAACCAATTTGATTTCGAAATTTAAACCTTTTTGTAATAATAAAAAATTTAATACTAGTTTAACTTAGTCATGGAACTCTATTTACTAGAATTAAGATTAAGTCGTTTGGTCCCAAATAAAATGCTTGGTTGGAAAACAGAGATATAACATTTGGTTTCTGTTATTTTTCAAATACCATAAACTTGTCATTTGACGAATAATAAGGGAGAGGGATAGTATTATATATATATATATATATACATATGGTGCCTTCTACGGTACCCCGGGTGAAATCCGGGGTACCGCATACCTTGAGTATGAAAACGCTATCTAGACCTCGAATTAGCAGGATTTTTGGGCATGATACTATACCCTAACCCTTAATGAGTGAACCCTAGGTCCTAATTATCTAAATCATAAACTATAAACCCTAAGATGGTGTATTACTTTTCCCCCCTATATATGGACGAATCATAACCGTCGATTATTGTTTCTGATTAAATTGATCTTGGGGTATAAGATTTAGAGAATTAAGACCTAGATTTTGATCTTTATGGGTTAGAGTATAGTACAATGTCCGAAAGATCAGTCAATTCAAGTTCTAGATAGCGTTTTCTTACTTAACGTATGCGGTACCCTGGATTTCACCCGGGGTACCATAGAACTCCCCATATATATATATATATATATATATATAAATAACAAGTTATTGTATTTTTGTTCCAATTACGACCTTGTTCTGTTTTATAAATTTCAAACTATAATCCCTTTTTAGTTCCACTTTTTGTGTTCATCTTCTTCCCCAATTATTCCAATAACCATTTTTTTGATAATGATGATGAACTTTATTAAATAAACAAGCCAAATCCCACAAGGCGTGAGAAATGGGAAGGGAGTTTGAATGTACAGAAATCCGTCTCCGCAAAAGGAAGGGAGAATGAGAGCAAAACCAGAGAAACCAAACAAAAAAGAAAACCGAAAAAGCAGAGACAAGGGAAGAACTAGGTGTCTAACTCAGGAGGAACTCAATGACTGCTAGCTCCTCTACATGACCAGCTCTGCAGAAAACCAATTCCCTTATCTTTGTCAATTTTCTTGTGAGCCAAAATCCACTCAATTATTCCACCCACCGTCTTCCTAGCAATCACGAGGGGGGTGCAGCTTAGCTCATGGAAGATCCTTCTGTTTCTTTCTTTCCAGACATCCCAACAAATTGCGTGGACAACACAGGAACGGAACCAAGACTCAAGACCATCCAGATTATTAGTCAAGTTGTTGTTGATGATCGTTGAAATATCTCCAGAGGCAAGGTCGGGAGGGGAGATGGGGCTGAAAACCTCACCCCAAACTCGTCTGGTGTAACCGCAGCCCACCAAGAGATGATTAATCGACTCTTCTTCTTTGTAGCATAGCACGCACCTGTTGGCCAGCTCCAATCCTTGTCTCTTCAGATTGTCCATAGTGAGGATTCTTTTATGCCAGACTAGCCAGATCGATGAACCCACAAATCTTCGTGGGGATAATGCTCTTCCAGATCGAAGCATACTGAAAGTTCTCCACCCCTAGAAATCGTTCTGCCACCTGCCACCTGTAACAAGAACTAACCGAGAACAACAACTCTGTATCCGGATTCCATATCATCCGGCAAGGACTAGTATAGATACTGAAGGAATTAGCATTAATCTCAACAAAGCAAGTAAGTCTCTCAATTTCCGCCCCACCCCGAAGACTTAAAGAGAAAGAAACATCCCACACACTCAACTCACCTGAGGTGGACACAGAGTCACAGATGCTAGCATTTGGGGAGGTAGCAGCAGCAGCACGCGGAAAAGACTCCGCTAGCGACTTCCCAGGGATCCAGTTGTCATGCCAAAGTGAGATCGATGTACCCGGGCCAGGATCCACACTCGCCCCTTCCCAAAACAGGTCATGTACCTTGCATATGTTATCCCAGACCGAGCTGTTGAACCCTTCATCAAGCCTCCTGGTTTTCCACTCCGAAGCTGTGTTGTTATATTTCCAGTTTATGAGCTGTCTCCACCAACTGTTTCTTTCTGTAGCAAACTTCCAGAGCCACTTGCAAAGGAGGGCATTGTTAAAACATTCTAAGTCAACCTCGCCCAACCCACCCTTCTTCTTTGGAGCTTTGCAAAGATCCCATCTGACCAAGTGTCTTTTGTTCTCCCCACTAGCCCCACTCAACAAAAACCTTCGCTGTATTTTTTCCAGATTGTTCAATAACCATTATTTGGCTGCTCTTCTTACCTTAATTAGGCGTAACACTAACAAAGAGTTCAAGAATCAATATGTAACGACACAATATTCTATTAAAATGATTTATAAAACTATGTACATATTTATATATTCAATTTTACATTTTTAATATTTTATAACTGATTTTATTACTTTAAACACACTATTACAATAAAATGCATATAAAAATTTGTACATATTACTGCCCTACATATGCAAATAACATATATTATGATATGTGGTATTTGTGTGATAATGCGTCCCTATAACAGGTTTGACAAATAGGCATCCAAACCACCCATAACATAACCCACTAAATAATTGGCCCGCGCTCTTTGGCACGTAATGTTGAATATCTAATTGAATTGCATTGGCTTTGATTAGGTTAAATTGAATTTATTTTGTAGAATAATTTCGAATATCAAAATATGTACTTCATGATTTAGTAAATGTTCTTCGAAAACAAACATCACTTCACCATGGCAGAGTTCTTTCAGATTTTTTAAAGTATTTATCATCTATTCCCTTATTTTATGTATTTTCAGTAATTTAAACAATATAATCTAATATCAATTAAGAGCCCGTAGTTTATACACTGTGACAATTGTATCTTCAATTTTTGAAATGTCATTTGTGTTCTTTAATTTTGACTCTGTTAACTAAGAGGTCAGTGGTGGTGATAGCCTGATAGGAAAAATGTCAAAATAATCAATTGAAATAATTCCTTTGAAAACCTATGTTCATCTCCAGGAAATTACTTACTTGCGGGGGAAAGGAGGATCCAGAGCGATAGTACTATTATATGGTTGACCCAGCTGGCCTGTTTTCAGAGTCTTGGTCAACGGTTGGTGAACTATCCACTATCCACATTATTATTTATTACATTATAAATGTTCCTTCGTAGGCGTCCTTTGCTATTCATTACTCTCACTGGGAAATGGCAATGGCTAATCGAACCAGAGCTCCTTCTTGTGCTGTTTACATCATTATTCATTTGCTCCTGCTCCTCTTCTCCTCGCTGGCTAACAATAAGATGGTCCTGGTGGAAGCAGCTCGACTTCCCGCGGCCATGTCTGGTGAGTTACATTTTTGCTCGACTTGGGCATTTTAAGCATTTTGAATACAACCTTATTTGTAGTAAATATGATAACCGTTAACTTTGTTGACTGACTGATTAATGGGGATTCTGTGTGGCTTTGTTTCAGTTGGGATCAAGAGTGAGGAGCATGGTCGGATAGCTGCCGTGAGCAAAGGTTGGATTAAACGAAGTTATTCAAGATCCGACGCACACGGCGGTGGCGGTCCTCGCCAAATAATATGCGCAGTATGTTAGCAAATGAAATTGGAGCAAATGTGGCCAACTTCTGATGATGCGCGGATCCATAACAAAACGTCGGATTCAATATCTTTCTATTCTACCTAGCAAATAAATGTACTTTCATTATTTGAACCAATAATGTGAGCTGGAAGAGTAGTGTCCATTTTGTTCTGATCGAGTGGTTATGAGGTCAGCTTTTGAAACCAATGAACCGTACGTATGTCAACATGCGGAATTTATCTTTCCATGTAAGTCTGTATCCACTTAAGTAAAATTGGTATATTGTAATTTCTTTTCATGTGACTAAGTTGTTCTTGGTAAAAGTCTCCGATTTGAGATTCTTATGTGTAATGCAGACTAATACCACATGTTTTGCTTAACTGATACTCTCGTCCAATCAAATAATGTGTTGAAATTGGGGAGCTCCATTAGTACGATATTGTCCGTTTTGGGTAAAACCCGCATTGTTTTACTTTTAGGTATCCTTCCCAAAAGACATCGTACTAATGGGTTTGGCGGACACTTATTTACAAGGGTCCCTTCCTTTGTATTGTTGATGTGGTACTTGAATTATCTCATAACAATCCTCTCATCAAAACAAGGACCACGGACTTTGTGTACTCTCCTCAGCGATTATCTTGATCCGCCCACAAATCCTGAAGTCAACAAATTAGCGTCCCAACAAACTGACGTCCATTGTCCCAAACCGGAACCACGCTCTAATATCACTTGTCGAAATCAACCAACTCCATTAGTACGATATATACTGTCCGCTTTGGGCCAAGCCTTGCAGGAATTTTCTTTTGGTTATCCTCCCAAAAAAGCCTTGTACTAATGAGTTTGGTGGAAACTTATATACAAACGTCACTTTCCTTGTATTATCGTTGTGGTACTTGAATTGTCCCATAACAATCATCCCCTCAAGACAAGGACCACAAATTTCGTGTCCTATCTCAATGAGTATCTTGATCAGCCAAACAAGATGTAGATTACCTTTGATCTACCAGACAGATGCAAAGCTCTCCTCCAAACACCTTGTATCAATAGACTTCTCGGTACAAGAATTTTTCCAGACGCAAAACTCTCTTTGATACAAGCCGACATGTTAGTAACTCCTCCAACCCCGTACACGAGATGTGTTTAGCCTAGGGCTGGAAATCCGGAAACCGGCCAGTTTAAACCGTCCCGGTTGTAACCGGAAACCGGATTCACATTCACCCAATCCATTTTGCGGTTGTAGGATTCACACAAAAAACCGGCCCGGTTCGATCCGGTTAAAACCGAGGAAAACCGGATAATTCAAATATAGCCAGCCCAGTCCCAGTCCACTCCCAGCCCGAGCCCACTCCTTAACCTTAGTCGGCCATGATTTTCTTCTCTGTTCTCTCACTCCCTAACCCTCAAACTCTTTTATCTTATCTGTTCAGAATTTACACAAACACACACGCCAGAAGAAAAGAAGAAGACGAAGAGAACGCAAGCTCCTCTGCCGGCCAATCGCCTCCCTCGATCTCGTCCCGTGACTCCCGATGGCGACCAGCCGAGAGCCAGCCATCGGTCCATCGCCACTCCGGGGCCACCAGAACTCTCCAATAGCCTCCCTCCATCCTCTGATCTGACCTCCATCATCCAATCGTCCATCGCCACTCTCACCAGCGACTCACCTCTCTCCCCGATGCAAACCAGCGCTCGCCTCCTCTGTTCACGACATACATGGTGATAGTTGTGCATGCAAGAGGAAGGGGGAATAGAGGAGAGTTTATGGGTGCAGACTCTCCCATCGGCTCTCCAAGAAGCAAAGGAATGGGAGAAGAGAAGAAAGTAGAGGAAAGAAGTGGATTTCGTTGTTTTGTTGGAGAGAGCAACGGCGGTAACGATATAGATGGAAGAAGATAGGGTTTTGAGGGATTGTGTGGATGGGGATAGAGGGCGGGCCAGAGACGTGAAAATTGAAATGGTATACAAATTTTTATAACTTTTTTTTAATTTCATTTGCAAACGGCAGCGTGTTGGGATGGAATAAACCAATCCAGTTTTTTAGTTAAAACCGGATCAAACTGTATTGCATCCAATTCGGTTTGGTCAAAACCGGGTTACAATCAAACCTCGTCTTCGGTCGTGGGATTGTCTAATACGGTTGTAAAAAACCGGGTCAATCCGGTCCGGTTTAAACCGAACCGGACTGTTTCCCACCCCTAGTTTAGCCCAACAATTCATCAATCAAGACTATTAATAATACGTTTTCAAGTATCTAGATATCTCCATTTGAATTTTCCGGCCCTGGGAGCGTTTGTCGGAAGGCCATTTCAGTAACTTCCCCAAGTGCCATTCCTCACCGTCGTTTCACACTCAAAACCGGCAGCACGGTGCGTCTCGGATTAATTTGTATCAATGAATCGTTACTATTTTAGTTTTGATTTAATTATTTTCTTCCCTTTGGGTTTTTCCCTGTCGTCGACTGAACTGAATCCCTAAACCGATTCCATCCGAGGAAATTCAGAAGCTTCTCCCATCGAATTATCCTTAGCTTCCTTGACTCAATTCCTCCGCCGCACATCATCCTAATCCATCCTTCGCCCGCTCAGATCCTTGATACCACACCGAAGAATTCACCGCCCAAAGATTTCAGATTCTCTGTAGCTATCCCCACCGCCTTCGAATCGTGAACGCCATCGTCGTACCTGCAATACTAATTGTGCACAGGACCTCCACCGAATATGAAGCATATGGAATTGAGTATGCATGTAAATTTGATTCTCCAAGCAATTTAGAGTTTGGTGGTTGTGCGGTGATTAAATTTTCCATGCTTTTGGGAGGGCAATTACAGGGTTAGTGGTCCATAGTTTGAGGATTTAGGATTAACAATTACATCCCATGGAAATTCTCATGTATGTTATAAGATTGACAAGGAGTTTCCGATGGTGTGAGAATTGAAATTTGTCTTCTTTGAACTCTTGCTATTTGCGTATTTAATTCACACGACAAGGGTTTTTGACAACTGAATATAAGATTGACAAGGAAGTTCCTCGGTTGTTGAGTGCATAAGATTGTAGAACCTAAGTTTAGTACTACATTTCTAGGTAGAAGAAATTGAATATTTTAAGTCTAATCCAACTCTAACTACGCGAGAATACAAAATACTTATCAAAAGTCTGATATACGAATCGTATTCTACTTTGTAGATAGTAAGCACAACTAGAAGTTAAAGAATTACTAGGTGCAATTCTAATGGTTTAATGGTTTTGATTACCAACCGAACTTGATCGTTCTGGTAGGATTTGGTTCAAACTTCTGATAGAGCATACAAAGGCTGCAGTAAAAGTTGGGTTGGTGCATGAAAAAATTAAATTCAATGTTGAAAAACCTTTTACTGAATACTTAACAGTCTTGATTCTTCACATCCCATTGAGGTACAAATTATCTTCGACGCTTGCTTTTACAGTCCTATGTTGTTAATCGCTCAATCTTATTTATACCTAATATTACTTTTCCAACGCAACTGTTGGACATGAAAAAATCAATTTTTGTTTGCACCAAACTTCATCACCAATATAGTAGTGATTCAATTGGAGCTGATCTAATGAAGTAGACGCATGATCTCCTCTAATTTTACCGTCAATAAATTTCACTGAGGATTAGATGAATGGATTATTAATAGATGACATTGTTTGACTTTATACTTTATAGTTACTTAGTTAGAATCATTCCCACATGATAAATTTGTTGATTGATAGGTGTAATTTTGTTAGACTACAAATTATTGAGCAACTTAAAGAAACACAAAGAATAAATAAAAATATTGTAGAACACACTTTTTTTCTTCTACAAAACAATATTTATTTTCACTTTTTTATCGTGGAATTCTTTTCATATACTGAATTCAAGTAAACTGTATAATTTTCGTGACAAAGCAACGAGAAGCTCAGGTTTTGCGATTGATATTTGATATGTGGCTAATGGTCATTGTATTATTTGTTATGTGCACTTGATGGTAGTAATAAGTCGACTTCTACATAAACATAGCAATAACGTGACCTCAACATTGTTTCCTCAAAATTTAGTATTTGCGTCCCAGCCAACAGGCCATCTACAAGATATATAATAGAGATTCATGTGTCAAGTTTTCAGCATTTTGAAATTGCTGGCCATAGAGGGTTTTACGGAAGGGCATTGAGGACATTTCCCCCTACAGCTAAAGCATGCTATGCGTTTCGTTTCACGCAACCATCCCGCTCTAATTTACTCTCCACAATTTGGACTTAAATGGGCCTATCCTTGGGCCTCTAACCATAAAACCATCTCATAATATTTAATAAATATGCAACCGTGAGGGGATTCAAAATGTATAAGTTAATGGGAAATGTCTTTGTCAAAAAAAAAAAAGGGAAATTGGGAATAACGGGTATGCGTACAAAATGTAGTTTTGTACAATTTAACCATATGATTTTATGGTTATGAGTATATATTGAAATTCAAACATCTCTTTTTTTTCATTTTAAATTTTCTGCATCGAGAGCGAAAATAGAAAGGGTACATTTGTCACTACATTTATTTAGTTTTTATTATAAAAATAAATCAGTGTTGAGATTTGAATCAGGATCCCTTCAGACAAAAACAAAAATTATAGTCAATTTCCCTAAATAAATTTGTTGTATCTTTCTAAACTAAAAACATACATGAAGCAAAAATATGAAAATCAGAAGGCTTTCCCACCATGGTTAGCTACACCACTAAGTCTCCTTTAATTATTTCTTTGGTCTTTAATTTTTTATTTTCATATTTCTTTGGTCTTAACAAAATTATTAAATTGATACTGCTCCTTCTCATGCAACAACATGATAAAAAAATTATCTTTGAAATTACCAATAAGATAAGAAGATGGGTTATTAGTAGTGTGAGTAGTTTATTTATTCAAGTTAAAAAAAACTATATGCTTGGTAGTTTAGTCCTTAAACGTTTGAACTTAATTTGAGGTTAGCTTTGATGAATATGTTTATGGTGATTGCTTTGGGGTTTCTTTATGAACTTATTTATCAATTGAAAGCTGCATGATTGTTGATTGTTAGTTATTGCTAATGAACTTTACATCAAAACTTGGTTATAGTTAGGTTGGTTAAAGTGTTTGCTAATTTGGGGCATGGAATTGGTAGGACACACTTAAGTAGTTGTGATACCAAGTAAATATGGTG